AGTGGACTCTAAACTAAGAGGTAGAGATGTCCCGATCCGATCACGTGATCGGAGATCGGAGCCGATCACGTGATTTTCAAAAGATCGGAATCGGGAGGAAAAAATCGGGGATCGGGATTTTTAAATTTTTTAAATACTTTTTTATTTTTTATTAATTGTTACAAAACAAAAATGACCATGTTCAAGTCTTAAAGTCATCCTGAGGCCTTAGTTTTGGTTTCAAATTACACAACATCATGTATGTGTTGCTTCTTTGGGGCTTGTTTTCATAGACCTGGTTGATTATTTCTCTCAAATCTGGCAACAGAGTGGGCAGGGCGCAGTGTCTAATTGTAGTAGTAAGCTAACGAGTACTGATAAGCTTTATTTTGTTTTGATCCAATGCTGCACAACTGAACTGATCCAATGCTGCTGTGAAAGAAATAAGCTATATCCATGTTGGATAGAATATCCAATTTAAATAAAAAAATAACCTTAAGGGACCACTTGAATGCTTTTTTTCTTTTTTTTCCTTAAGGCATTGCATAAAGATCGGATCGGGAAAAATCGGTATCGGCAAATTGTCAAAATCAAATGATCGGAATCGGAGCAAAAAAAGGTGATCGGGACATCCCTACTAAGAGGATTGTTTATGTGTTTATGTTGATGCCTGCGAGTTCACATGAAGGCTTGTGTCGTACCATCTGGTCGGCCAGCAGCAGAACGGTCTTCAGGCTGAACTTCCGGGAGCAAAAGTTGAAAAGGTCCTCCAGACTGGGGCCGAGCAGCTCCATCACCATCACGTTGTAGTCTCCCTCTGCACCACACCACTTTATGGATGGGATACCCACTAGAATGCAAAACACACACACGGTCATCATAAAGCTTGTATTATTACCTCCAACAAGCAATGCATCAACATGTTTCCCAGGTGGGTCAAAGCCACATTCATCTCACCTCCTCCTTGCATCATCTTGTAGAACTTGCTCTCTATGTGCAGCTGGGGGTGTTTGGTCTTCACACATTCCAGCTTGATGGCTACCTCCTCCCCTGTGGCGATGTTGGCACCTGAGGACACACAAAAGTACAATTGTTGCTAAAAGAGGTGTTTCAATGTGACTGTACCAGGAAAAATGAAGGATTAATGTGTTGGTGCCAATAAGAAGGGACAGTAACGGCCCGTCCACACACAGGCATGAAAAAAATCTTCGCCCATTCACTTGAATGGGGTGACGTAGAAGATTTTTAATCTTCGCCGAACTGCATTGTGGGGAGCGGAGCATGGCTTTCCAAGCATCGTGAGCATCAAAAGTTGAGCAATGTTCAACTTTTGATGCTCCCAATGCTTTCGAAGCTGGCATCAGCCAATCAAATCCCGTTTATGCAAATCCCGCCAGTACAAGCGCTAGCCAATCAAACCGCGTGTAAGCTGAGAGAGCCAGACAGCAGTTAATTTCTTCATATTCCAAACGAGAAATTACGGTAGCAAATCACCCGGTTCTTTACGACCAGAACTATTTACCGGGATACAAACCGGAGGAACCAGGCATGGAGGGAGGTGGCAGAGACAGTGGGTGAAACTGGTAGGTTTTCGCCTGTTTGGGGATTTTATATCCAGTTTACTTCGTTTTAACATTGCTATTGCTTTGTATGTCGGGGCAGGAGATTCATGTGATTGGTTGTTGGTCGCAAAAAATCGCCAAGCTTTAGACACGCCCAGCATCAAGATTTTTCAAGATTTTTTTCATGCCTGTGTGTGGACGGGCTGTAATGGTACAGCAGCAGAAACTAATGTGGAAAGACCCTTAAGAGAGGGGACGCATGGAAAGCTGCGTGCAAAAACAAACTTACCAAGGTAAATGTCGCCAAAGGAGCCACTCCCTATCTTCCGCCCGAGCCGGTACTTGTTCCCCACTCTCAGCTCCATGTTTGCGAGTTGTCACTGTCACCAACAGAAAAAAGGAGATGATTATAAGCAGGAAAAGGACACATGACACCATGCTCGCTTATCTGGGCGGCGCCATTTTCTCTCTCTCTCTCTGCTCACCGGGAAACATTATACACTGAGCTACTGTACAGTTCAACAGAATATAACACAGAGTGGTAGAATGAAGGGAAGCTGTCCTCAAGGGTCGGTCAGCTGCTCACATGGTCATCTGTCAATCCCAGACAGACTGAGTTGCCCACATGCTTGAGTGAGTAGCCGGAGCAGAGCTTGTTGATCAGCCAACAGCTGCCTGACCTCAAGAAACACACAATAGAGTTGAGCAGCGATGACGTACTTTTGCAGGCTGACCCGGAAGTTAACATAGCAAGGGCTCCCTCAACAATAAGCAATGGGATTTCGGAGTATTGCAAGCACACGTTCATTTCAGCCGAATAATCTCAACATATTGACACCACTTTTATAATGTAGAAGTGCATTCCAGAAGTAGAAAGCTCACGTCACGCTATAAAGGAAAGGCATCACTGTCACATGGCTTCACGTCACCACCGCTAAGCTAAGAAGTAGGGCTGCTAAATTAAATCGTATTTTAAAATCGCGACTACGAAAACAACGTAATCTAAATAAAACGATTATTTTTTTATTACTTTTATATTATTTTTTTGGTTTTCAGTTGAATTATACTTAAAGTTCAGGGTAATCAACTGTTAAAAACATACTGGTAAAAAAAAAAAATTCTACAAAAAATGGATGTTTTCAAAGTCAATGAATAATCGCATTTAATAATCGCTATTACACTTATTGACCCAAATAATCGAGATTATGATTTTTGCCATAATCGAGCAGCCCTACTAAAAACGCGGATAATGTTCGGAGTGAGAGCACGTCTCATTTAGTCGCTTGTTAGGAACCGCAGGTTTTTAAAGACACATTGAAGCTCAGGCATTCTCACCAGAGGGGTATTCACTTATGTATTTGATGTAGTAGAATAAAACGTGAAATCTCAGTTGTTAACCACAGAGCTTAATTCAGGTCTCTAACCAAAAACACATTCTAAAAACAGTTGACAACCAGAAGAAGTAGAAAAACGCCAACTCATTACTGTGTTTCAGAAAGGAGAGTAGTGACTGGAAGGAGAAATACATCAAAACCAGGACTACATAAAACTGCCGGTTTCCACTTGGAACAGAATCAAATGTGAGTACTAGGACTTGGCACACGAGGAAAGGAAGTGCATCTTCTGAGCTGAACTGCACGTGATGCCGGAGCATCATTTATTTAGCACACTCTCCTACCTACCACGCCACATTGTGCAGCCACTGCAAAAGCAAGACTAAGCTCTCTCTCCACTGTTCCGTACTAGCAGTGCCAAGGGAGGGAAGGCATGAGCGCCGGCTGGCTCTATCTGTGTCAAGGCCCTCAGACGATTCTGTGCACTGAACTTCAGAAAGCAAAGTGCTGCAGAGGACATATCAACGCGGAGCATTATTCATCAAAGAGGTTTAATTTGTTGACAGCAGTTTGGGAACAATATGTTAACAAATCGATGGAAACGGTGGACCTTTGTTCCAAATCACTGCTTCATATTCACATATCACCTCGAGACATGTGATGCAACATATGAAATTGACCTCATTGTAACAGATTCATGCCTCCTTTACCGTCTCCTATAGAGAAGTCTCATGACAACTCGGAAGAAAAAAAACTGTCTAAGGAAAGCTCAGTTTCGTGGACATGCGAATTCAAGCTAGCAGAAGAGCCATCGATTCAGTCCTCTTATCTAGTTTCTTTGATCAGAGCCACCTTTATTCTTTTATTAATAAGTAATTTTACTTGATTGTAAGTTGGAGAAAAAAATTAGCACCAGTTCAGTAGTAAATCTACTCATTTGGCCTATAGACAAACATTGCAGAAAAATGCGGGAAATCTTCATATTCGAGAGGCTCAATACAGCATTTTAAGAAAATTGACTTCAATGGACGATAATGAAAACAGTTCAGCATCTCTGACCTTACCTTGGGAAATGAGTCAAACTCAAAACAAATTGCATTGCACATTGTTTAATGAGACATTTCACCTGAACCGAACATATGGTAAGATGTAGGCCGGAGACCTTGTCAGCTCCGGCTGATGAGAGCACATCCTGCCATGGTGGATGTGAGAGAGGCAGATGGATTTGGGTTAATAAAGGGTTAGGTTTCATTACACCAAGAGGGTGTCTCATGTGCTGCAGCCAGGGACCCGATTTAGGGCGCAACATTAATCACAAGGCTACGGAGTAAGTGCTATTGATTTATTGCTTGTTACTGGAGCGGTGACACGCAATTTTAAACCACACAGTGTTTTACACTGCATATTAAAGACTGTGTCCATGTGGTTTCGACTGGAATAATACTCATGATTATTCTAAAAAGCTTAGCTGGAGAGAACGTGGTTTTGCCAAGACATGCATAGGGAAAAACTGTGCAATGTGAAGAATGCATTATTCAATGTTTCAATGATGGCCTATGTGATGTGAAGCAAGTGGAATAGTCACATTGCAGCTGGAAACGCACCATGTGCCTTTAATGTAGACAGGGTCTACATGACAGTGGACAGATGAGCATCATCTTCTGGTTACAGAGGGGGGTCTTTAGAGGTTGTCCTGAAGAGGGGCTACAATAAGGTTTAACCCTCTATACACCACCCCAAATGTGAAATAACTTGCCTTTAACTACAATGTAATCTCTCACACAGTTAAGACACAATAAGTCTTTTTTAGCCCGCCTGTCATTTCCTGGTCAAATCTGACCGTTTTACTACTTTCATCAATCATACAATACATTCGAGGCCTTATGATATCCTCCACAGTGGGCATTTCAACCTATAAAACAGCTGATCACCACTTTCATTACATTTTGAATAGTTTAGTCAACTTTGTCACGCCTATGGGGTTCCCGGATTTTTTTTTTACCAACACAGGAAATGAATGAGTAACTCTAGATTACGTTCACTCATCAGATAGCACAGAACCACCAATCAACAAGATGTTAATTTCATTGTCTATTCTTTGTATTTTCCCTGCAGCTATTTGTGTAAACCAGTAGTCTTTGTAGACATTGTTTACAGCTTGAACGGGTGCTTGATCAAATGTGGTGATGATGAATGTGTATGTGTTAATGTAAAAGCAGGGACCACCAAAGTAAGGGGAGAGAAACTAACACGACAGGAGGGTTAAAGGAGAAAACAAGAGTCAGAAAGCAAAACACAGAGGATTTCGCAATCCCATGAAAAACAGAGCACTGCTACGCCTCTCAGGGAAGCTGTCACTCAACAATCCGCTTGTGTGAAACTGACCCGACACTAAATACATCAATACAACTTAACTTGCCAAATTAAGTTAAAACACACTGCAAATATACGCACATGTCACAAAGAATACACACTATAAATTGATAAATTAGAATGTTCCATAAAACACAAATACACTACAGCACAGAAATATAGACACATACTACAGTAGCAGAAACATAAAGACAGTATATAAATTACAGTTGTGCAAAGTAGCTCAAATTGTCAAGCAAGTCAGTTATGGTTTAATGTGGTCAATATTTTACAACTACTAATATTGGCCACATTATTTAAACCGCCTTAGAAAGACAGACACTTTAAGTAGGTTAACGTTGGTTAAAATACTAACCTAATGCAACGTGAAGGACGCAAACTGCAGTTATAAACAATAGAAAAACAAGTAAAATAAGAAAACATCAACCGATAGCATTTAGCTAGTTCCCTGTTAGCCGCTAGGAGTAAGCTAGTGGAAATACGTTAACGGAACCGTGATACGCTAGTCACGGTGGTTACTATAGAAATAAAAAGACAAGCTGTAATCGTGTTTATATGTTATACTTTGTCACATTTGTACTTAAAAACCGCACCCATTTGTGCTACGGGACAAGTAAGATACTAGCCATCCCCACTACTATCCCCCTCCCCCCCTCTTCTGTAAAGCCGTGAATACGAGCCTCCAATTCGGGCGAATCGGGCCGCTTTTCACCCCTGAATATCTCCGGTTCCCCGACCCGCAACTCACCCGATATTGGGTTCGTCCGAGAGCTGGTTCGGTGGATGTTCTGATCCGATGGTTGTCAGTGGGACAGAAGCCCGAGTAAAGGAGGATGGGAGCGGATTCTGGTGGATCTCATACCCCCAGCTCTGAGCTCTGTGGTCGGTTGCTCTCCCTGTTGATCGTCCCTGAGAAGCTCCAGCAGCCGTTGCTCTGTCTCCCCCTCCCGTTACTTAACACCGCGCGCTCACTACGCGATGATGTCATTCTGGGGATGTCAGGGCTCAGTCATTTATGAAAAAACGTCACAGCAAAATGCTCCTTCCTTTATACATGTTTACCATTCATTAATTATCCATTGATCTACTATTAGTCATCTTGAATCATACTCGAGTTTGCAAGGTGAATCCTGTTGTGTATCATGCTAGATATCGCGATATTTCAGTAAAGGATATCCTCAATTCAGTCAGTGTTGAATTAATCTGTTACAAGTTAAAGTCCTGTATTGAGTTAAAATAGTTTTTAAATTAGAATCAACGTTTTCTTAGATTTCAAATTATATTTATATAACGTATATTTAGGAAGTGAAAGTGGTTTATTTCTACAGAAAGGACTATTTCCACACTCAAAGTCTTATTTTCATCTATAAAATTACTTCATGCTTATAGACAATCATTTTTAGAAAAAAAAAAAAAAGCATTGTCTGATTTAGCAAATTATTATTATATATTTCTAAGTATTAAATCAATTTAATGTAATACAAATTACGATATTACCATATGTGTTGAAGTATAGAAGTCTATTAGAAATCACTGCATCAGAGGTCACTTATTTCATACAGTATGCAGTAGCTTACTGTAGAGTGACATGGGTTTAAATAGGATTGGTTTGTGGATGGTAGTGAGAGGCCGACAGATGGACACACTGAATTATTTTTCTGCCGATGAAAAGCCTTTAGGCCTTTCACTGAACGAAAGGTCTTTGTCATATTCATCAGTGCAACATGCAGTGCTTAGTGTGCACATGTGCTCTATAGTGGAAGCCCTGAAAGAGGAACAGAGGCGGGGAGGTTCACGCTAGGATTGTTAAACATAGAAACTACCTCATTGAGCTACAAAATACAATTATTTACATGTTCAATTCATCTGCTGTTTATTTCTTGAATATGATCAATTTTAATCTCCCTATTCGAATGGATTAAAACATAATTTCAGCAAAAGTTTTGCATTAAAAATGAGTTTAATTATAATAAATTATCAAAATAGATGACGATTATTTTTCTTTCAATCAGCTTATGGTTAAAGCTTTAGTACACTTACTCAAAAAAAGTTTTAGTGAACAAAAACATGTTGATAAAATAGTAAAAATAGTCCAAGTCCAGATCCCTAAATGTCTTGTTTTGTCAGTTTATTAGTTGATATATAAGAAAAGCATGACATTTCCATATCTAAAAAGGTTGAAACTGCATTTTCTGCCATCTAACAATGAGTTTAATGATACATTATCAAAATATATATTATTTCCAGATTAAAATGAAAAAAATGTCAATAGAATTGTAAAAAAAAGAAAAGGCCCAACCCTTCTGCAGGCTAAAGCAACTCAAATCTCTCACCAGCAAAATACCTCGACAGTTAAATGCCATTTTAAGTTTCATTACTATAAGATACAGTATTTATTCAGTATTTATCATCATTATAGTATTACTATTTCGGCGATTAGCTAAAATATAAATTATATTTGATGCAACTTTAGTTACATTTCCATGACTTTTCCAAAACTTTGGGAAAAATATTGTTTTCCAGGGCCTGGAATTAGCTTTTTGAATTTCCATGACTTTTCCAGGTTTTTAAATGACTGTAAGAACCCTGTCTACAAGTTTTAACCTCCATCCAGAAACCAATAAACTCTCAACAAAACGACCACGAGGACAGAATTAGAAGCCAATACTTTCATCTTTATTAATCTTGTTCTCATGTTTAAATAAATTTTTCCTTTGTAAAATCTCTTAACGAAAACACTGAACAGGAGTGTTAAAGCCTGTCTTAATTTAAAACGAATACACAACAACAGAACATTGAAAAACGTACGGTAACTCTTACTCTGCATCTGTAAACAACCCGCCCCCCCCTCCCGCCCTTTCCCTCCACACAGTTTGATAAGATTTGGCATGTCCATTTACTCAACGCGTATGCCTTCAGCTCTTTGTGTCATTAAAATTTTTCTTTTTTATTATTGCAGGTCGGACAATAAAAAAAGACTAAAAAAAACAACTTCAAATGAGAGAAGAAAAAAAATTAAGCATTAGTGCCAATATTTCTTAACACACAGTCAGCAGTATACCGAATGCACTCAAAAACATTTTTGTATAGACCTTCTGTATAGTAAGCAGCCTTGCCCACATTATGACAGGCAGTAACATGCATACACACGCATACACACGCATACACACACACACACACACACACACCTGTGGTTTTAATCCACATACTTGGTCTCAGTCTCACTCATACTCGTGTCCATATAGTGTGTATACGACACATGGAGAAATGCAACATAGCCTCAAACTGCCAGCAATTTAACATTTATCACTGCAACAGTAACAAACATGTTTCAGAGAGAATAACAGAGAAAGAGTGCGTGAGATACAACAGTAGGAGGTCAGCATTTTGAAAACAGAACAATGACACATTTTCAATATTTTCACTGTTCAAAAAAAAAAATTTGAAACCATACATACATACAAACAAAAGAAAAAACATACACAGTAAGATACAGTTCTGTTTTCAATCAGAGCTGTTTGCATGTGGATTCGGTCTCCGCTTTTAAGGGGACGTGAATACAAAATGCACTTTAACCTCACATCATGTAGTAGTTTTTATACGATGAAGGTAATGCTGTTTACAGTGCCCATCTGTCTGAAGGCTCGTCTGTATTTGGTGTGTGCATGTGTATGTAAATCTGTTTTGAAAAGTCCCCTGTTTACTAAGCACATTGCAATCCAGTCAAGTCTTTGAGACTTCTCATTCTTTTTCTTTTTTTTTTTTTCAGGTTTCAAGTCTAAGCAGTTGAAATCTTCATCTGTGGAAAAAAAGGCTGTATACACATCTAACAGTCCCTGCATTTGTTTATATAATAGCTTAAGTCTGGCCACGAGAATGTGTGTAAGCATGTCTCACATTTCTGCTTGATGTGTGTGCACATTTATATGCATACCGTGTATATGTACGCACATGTGTGTATATGTGTATTACATTAATATGCATACCATGTGTGTGTGCTATAGTAAGTACATATGTATCCCAGTGTATTTTTTGTATCAGTGTGTCCAAACCTACACTTACAAATAGAGGGGGGGGGCTCGTCAGATGGAGTCAGCTCCTCCCCCCAGCAGGTCGCCAGGCAACAAGGCGGCAGGGCTGTCCATTTGGTGCCTTTCCTCCATTTGCGGGGCCCCCCACATGCTGCTGCTGCTGGGGTATCCTGCAGTCATGCCCCCCCAGAGCCCAGACCTGGCAGAGTCCACCCCCCCGACACCTCCCCCTCCCTCCCCGTTGTGGCTCCACTGGGAGAAAACACCCAGCCCGGGCCCGGGTCCTTGGGCTGACGAAGCTTCTGATGAACTTCCTGTACCGTCGAGACTCTGCCAAGCGGAGCCGGAGGACCTCCCCCCAGCCAGAGCCGCCGCTCCACCATCTCCTCCTCCTCCACCATTCCCACCTGGAGTTGTGCCCGTCACTGCCCGCTCACTCCCCGGGGAGCTGCCCCCCCCGCTGGCCGCTGCAGGGCCCGGTCCAGGAGAACCCTGCGACCCGCCTGGTGCCGCTGACCCTCCGGAGCCAGGCCCCTCAGACCCTCCCGCCTGGGAATGTGCAAAATAGCGAGCAACTTCCTCCTCGCTCACAAACTCCGCCAGGATCGTGGTGTTGCCCAGGACACACCTGAGAGGGATTTCACAAGAGAAGAGTGTTTAGATCTACAGCAGGGTGCAGAAGATACGATAATACTTTATTGGTCAGATGAAGTCTGACATTTGACTTGCATCACAGCGAGGGCATAAGGTTAAATATATGCGACCTGTTCATCAAAACCAGACGGATGTCCACAATAAACCGTATTTAATTTAGTCTTAATTTACATTATTTCATATTCTGTTCTTGTACATATCATATCATATTGACATGTATATTGACTTTTTGCACTACAATAAAGTTGACTTTGAGCAAGGTTAACCTACATGTGCAGTGCACCCTGGGCCTTGGCTGCTTCCTGCCGGGTGCTGTAGCGAATCAGAGCGCTGCCATGTGTCAGGCCGAGGTGGAAGGTGAGCAGCGGGCCGTGCTGCATGCAGATCGTCCTCAGCGTGGAGCCGTCAATCTACACAAGAAAACAGGTGAGGTGTAAATGATTGTGCAACAAATAACCCAAGACATCAGTTATAGGGACAGAGAAAGGTCAGGGAATCTTAAAAAAAAAAGCACTTAGATACTAACTAAGCACTTAGATACTAACTAGATGCTGGTCTGCTAACCGTCCCCACCCCACGCCTCCTCACCATGTGTGCTCGGGCTTTTAGCTGCACTGCTCCCAGACTCTGGAACTCCCTCCCCCCGCACATCCGACAGTCAGACACAATCACCATATTCAAAGCCCAATTAAAAACCCACCTGTTCAAATCTGCCAACTCACTGTAGTGCTCCCCATTATATGTTTCATTTGTGTCCACTTGATTGTCTTCCTCCATGATTTACTGTTTGTGTTTTTATCATGTTCTGTTGCC